TGGTAGGGCTTCCAACTTCTCCCTCCTCTGCCCCAAACATCTTGTCCCATCAACCTGAACAGTTCTACTTTTATCTGTGTTACAGATTGAGCTTCTGGTAAGATTTTTAGACACAATAAAGGGTTCCCTATTTACAAAATTGGCAACATCAATTTCCTGGTTTTAACAATGTGGTTTGGTTTTGTAAGATGTTATCATGGGGAAGCTGGGTAAAGGGTACACAGGAACTCTTGTACTATTTTCACAGCACCCTGTGAGTCTTAACCTGTTTCAAAGTATAAAAACTTACTTTAAATAAAACTTAAAGATTAAAAAAAAAAAACACATTGGCCTAGTCCTCATTCATCATTTCTGAGATACAGGCATATGATGAGCCAACCCTGGGTACAGGTTGTGCTAAGATTTCTTGTAATTCTGGTAGATACTTACGGTCTTCCCAGTTATGTGCAATCCTCTATTCTGTGCACTTAGAAGAATCTGTTCATCATTCCCCGAAACTCTAATTTTAATGAATGCCCACCATGCAAAGGCCCCAAAGACAATGGAGTAGTCTGGGAGTGAAGAAGGGCCAAGCACTCCTGCGGCCAGGCCTGTGGGGTGGCCCATCTGGAGGTTTCAGTGGCAGACAACAGCTGCGGGTACACACACAAACATCAGGGGTCAGTACTCCCTTGGATGTCCGGGATTCTGAGAGCCTTCCAGAGCCTTCCAAAGAGAAGATGGGGAAAAGAAAATAAAGGGGAGAGGGATTTCTTTTCCTTATACCATAGTCTGTTAACGTTTTTAAAAGCACCAAGCTGAACATTAGTCTTCACTAGTCATCTCACACTCTTGATTATATAACATGAATAAAAAGGAATGAATAAAGACGGCTAAGGGTGAAATAATTGTAAGCAAGGAGAAGATCCCAGTGTAACGATTATAGGAAATCACTCTTTCCCTTTCCTTAAAGTTGAATATTCACAAATAGTGAGTTTGATATTAGCCACCACCAGACTCTGCAGGTTAGAAATATATAACCTTAAAGAGTCCTGGTTCTCACCATTTAAGAACTCCAAATCCAGGATGGTCAACATAATCTTGAAATGTTTAAAGATAATAAAATGCACAGCCAGGAAAAACATGTTATTTCAAAGCATCTGTTATATTTTTTTACCTAGTCCAGGGAGGTTTCCTAGAGGTGAATAGAAACTGCATTTAGAAAGGAAAAATGCACAAAATCCATCAGTCTTCCAAATCTGTCATTTTTGAGTGCCTTCATTTCAAAGATTTTTCAAACTTCTCCTTCAAAAATAGATAAGTCTTTTCATGAGGGGTTAGGGAAGCTTTCTAAACAGTCGTGATTTGTACAAACTAATGTCAAGATTTTAAAAGCAAAACTAAGTATACAAGTTATTACATTTACATTTATAGAAAATCTAGATTTTCTTGCAATACAAAATTTGTCCTTAAGGGTATATCTTTACTGTTGCATACTTTTTTGTAAACTGCTCATGGATCACAAGGAAGAAAGGGGAAACAAAATCCCTAAAAACATGCTAAATCAAAATTGAATATCTCCAAGCAGCCCTCATCACCAACAAGGCCAAGAGGATTGTCTATGACTTCTCTGTGTCGTTTGTTGGCTTCCAATAACACCTAATTCTCTGTGTGTACAATTTTATGACAATCTCGACTTCTCAAATAACGTTTGCAATATTTTCTCTTCTGCTGCTGAAGGGCATGGGAGCAGTATTTTTCAACAAAGGAGAGAACTGTATTGCAGCCGGGCGGTTGTTTGTGGAAGAATCCATCCACGATGAATTTGTGACGAGAGTGGTGAGGCACCTTTGAATTTGCTCTATGAGTTGTACAGAAATTGCTTTTACTTGAAAAGTACTTCTAGGACCATTAATGGATTTTTAGGTGTGATAACAGTATTATGGTTAGTGTTTAAAACAATTAGTCCTTATTTTTTTTATAGCTACATACTGACATATTTATAGATTATGTAATGATGCCTGGAATTTGCTTCAAAATAACCCAGGAGGAAAGGAAGTAATCAAGGGAATGAATTGGCCAGGAGTTGGTAGTTGGTAATTGTTGAAGTTGGATGGTGAGCACATAGAGTTTCATTATATTATTTGTCTACTTTTATATGTGTTTATAATTTTTCAAGTGAAAAGTTCTAAGTTTATACGAAAGCCTGTTAAAGTATACTTAAGAGCTGTTATTACCTATGCCTTGCTCTGCATTAATAGTATATTAGATCTTTGACCCTTGTGAGACACACACTCCTAGATTTTTATTATATAAATCTCTAAATTGACTCTGAGAGGTACACCACTAGATCCTTATATTAATAAATCCCTAATTTGCAGTTAACATGACAGCATGTAATTTCTTTCACTAAAATAAATAAATAAATAGCCCCTGTAGATTGATCACGATTCATATATATGGAACTAAAAGTCATCTATAGGACTATTAAGGTGAATTCTGTAGCTAACATAAACTCTAAATTACACTACACTATGTCATAATGAAGGTAATAGTAATCCTGAATTTGCTTATATTTGTAAAACCAGTACCAGCTTTTTTTCCCCAGAGCCAATTCTCTACACCTCATCCCACCAAACAAGCAAAGGTATTCTTTTTTTCTTGAGAGTGGATAAAGGGAAGTCATATAGAGAGACAGGTGGTGGGCAGTCAAGTGGGCAGTGGCTGTCTCCTGAACATCACAGTATAATTCAATCTTGTGTCTCAATAAAATATAATTTGTGGTGCTACATGTCATGGGCTGTCAGGGTCAGCCACAACTTATTGAAATTTTAAATGCTGAGAATAGAAATGTTAGGAATTTGTCATATCAAATCAACAAACTTATTTTGCACATATGCTATGTATATTCATTCATTCATTCAACAGCTATTTCTTGAGCACCTACTTAGTGCCAAACACTGGGTGCTGGGAATACAAAGGTGAACAAGGCAGACATGGTTCCTGCCCATTCAGAGCTTCTCATTCAGCACAGGACTGTGTGCAAGGCACTGAGAGGTTACTGCCAGGCCTAAATTCGAATCCATGGTCCTGCTGGGTCATGATAACTTCCATTCTTTCTTCCTACTAGAACTTGACTTAACGTTAGAAAATGCAGAAATAGATTAAGATCCCTGAGGAGCACAAGAGACAATTATTTAATACAAAGACCTAGTGATGAACACTGTGCGATAGAGATTGTTTTTCACCAGAACATTCTAGCGATTCCTCTGGCATGGCGATATTGTGAGAATTTCACGAGGGCAGTCTGGCACACGTGGGGAGGGGAAAAGAAAAAGATAACAATGTGGCCATTTTAGAAATTCTTTTGCCATGAAAACTGTAAGTATGCAACATTCATGAAAATTTCAGAACATCAGTTTGCTATTCATAATGGATTCACATTCAGGATAATTTTCAGATAAGCATATGTAGCTTATGTTCCGTTAGAAGACAGTGGTTAAAAACTTGAGATTTCAAATGGGAAAAAGTCTATAGTATTCAGTGGTTGTACTTGGGCAAGTCACTTAACCTCTCTAGGACTCAGTTTCTTCTTTTGTAAAAGGGAAATAATAAATACCTACTTCCAGTGCTGTTGTGAAGACTAAATGACAACACGTCTATAAATAGTTTAGTATAACACCCACCATAGAAGGAACCCAGTCAAGGGTATCCATGATTGTTATTAACAGTGAATTGTGTTTTTGTGGACTGGGTAACATACAGGTGGAAGAAATTAAAAAGATGAAAATTGGGGATCCACTTGACAGATCTACTGATCATGGGCCCCAAAATCATAAGGCCCACCTGGAAAAGCTGCTGCAATACTGTGAAGCTGGAGTGAAGGAGGGAGCCACCTTGGTGTACGGGGGAAGGCAAGTCCAAAGGCCAGGTAAGATCACCTCCATGGCGGGTTTACCAGGCACTTGCCTTCTGCAGTTGGAGTGGATGGTAACAGTTTTCATTTCGGACCCTCCGACCTCAAAAGTAAATGGTGGCATTTATAATACAGTCAAAAGAATTAAATTCTATATCCTGCTTGGCCATTCATAAGCTGTGGCATCTTGGACAACACAATGTTTTGAGCCTCAGTTTCTTTCTATGTAAAATGAGATGAAATGGGTACACCCTGCCTTACAAGGGAATCAAATAATAAAATGGATGAGACAGGCCTTTAGCAGTAAACAAGTGTAATGGCTAATGGTGTTACCAGGCACTGCTGGTCTTGATTCTTGGCACCTGGGAGATTTAATCTTAGCCAACGTAGCTTGGGAAGGATTTGTTACTGTTGTCTAAACAGGACCTGTTACTCAAATATGTGAAGGGCTCAGTGTTGTGATACTCAAAAGGACAGATAGAAAAACAACTACAAAAATTCATTTTTCACTGTTGTAGGTAGATTATGCACCAACATCTTACTCTGAACATTGGCAATCACAAGAAAAAAATTCAACATTTATCCTGTGTTTCCTGTATGAACTGAATTTCTGTAACTGAGTAGCTGATAAAGGAGACACTTTTTTTTACAGAAGAATTCCTACTAATTAATATAGAAAAAAAGCGATGGAATAAAAAAATCATTTTGCATCCCTTAATTGACGAAATAATTGATTCAAGCAATGATTCTCAAAAGAGGCTGAGGTTATTAGGTGAAAGGTTGATGGAGACCTGGTATTTGCAAGGTACCAAAGTATCATGTCTGAGATTGCTTGCCAGAAATGAGGGGAAAAACATAACTCACAATGAAAGGGTCAGGTTGTCACCACCTGAAATCACCGGTCAATCTCAGCATCAGTGAAAGAGGGACAACTGGATATTATGTGTCTCCTGATGGAATAAAATGTGTAATACACAGTATCGACTATGAAGTGTTACTGCCAAAAAAGCTTAAACTGAATCTAATCACACCTTTAGGTCAAACTTGCCATTTATAAGAATTATAGGCTGGGTGCAGTGGCTCAATCCTGTAATTCCAGTGCTTTGAGAGGCCAAGGTGAGAGGATCATTTGGGGCCAGGAGTTTGAGCCTGAGCAACATAGAGAAACCCCATCTCTAAAAAAATAAAAAATAAAAAATCAGCCAGGCATGGTGGCATGTGCCTGTAGTCCTAGCTACTTGGGAGGCTGAAGTGGGAGGATGGCTTGAGCCCAGAGTTTGAGGATGCAGTGAGCTATGATCACATCACTGCACTCCAGCCTGGGCAACACAGTGAGACCCTGTCAAGAAAGAGAGAGGAAGGAAGGAAGGAAGGAAGGAAGGAAGGAAGGAAGGAAGGAAGGAAGGAAGGAAGGGAGGGAGAGATGGAGGGAGAGAGGGAGAGATGGAGGGAAGTAAGTTATTGTTTAATGGGTACAGAGTTTCAGTTTTATAAACTGAAAAGGGTTATAGAAGTGAATGGTGGTGAAGGTTGCACATATGAATGTTATTTCATAACACTGAACTGTATACTTAAAATGGTTAAGAGGGTAAATTTTATGTAATGTGTATTTTAAAGGTACAAAAAAATTACAAGGGATAGAGAAACAAACATCACCCAAAGGAAGCAATGACAAATCTAAAATGTAAGATATTCTACAGGACAACTGACCCACTCTATTTAACGTGGCATAAAAAAAATTAAGGGGGAGGGCAAAAGGACAAAATATTCTAGATTAAAAGACACTTATGAGACCTAATAACCAAATGCAATGTGTAGAATTTATTTGAATCCTAAATCAAACAAATCACCTGTAAAAAAGATAATTTCTAGACAATGAAGGAAAATGAAATATAAGCTGTGAATAAAGACTGACCAATTTTGTTAAGTGTGATATTGTATTGTGGTGATATAAGAAAATGTCCCTATTTTTTACAGATTTGTCCTGAAATACTTAGAAGTGAAAATTATGTGATCTGGAATTTGCTTTAAAATATTTCAAT